TTGACGGCTTAGCGATTTGACATTAGGGAATGAGGTGGAAAACTTAAGAGGCCTTGGGTTATAGGCCCATAAATGAGTCTTTAAGAAATGCAGAAGCAGATCATTTTTCAGTCGGAAAAAAGATGGTCTTGTAGATGATATTTAAATATATTTTTATGTTGTGGTTGTATTGTATTGTATTTTTATAAGATGCACCTGATACTTAGGCTGAGTAGCACCATTAAACTTTACCTGTAACTTTAACGATAACCGGTGTAAAGTCGAACAGTGGTGCAACCCAGCCTTAGTTTTCGCGCCAAGCTCACAGCTCATAGTCACTAGCAACACATTAACCTATGATATTATATCCTACTAGCTGACCCGGCGAACTTCGTACCGCCTTAGTGTAGAGATTTTCTTTATATTTATTTCCGTAAAAACCTTGTACAGAGTATTAGAAAACTACAAAAAAAAATCAGGCAAATCGGTCAAGCCGTTTTTATGTTATGTCGTGACAACGGAAAACGGGTTTCATTTATATATATATATATATAGAAGATGTATAATTACTTTTTTGTTGCATACACTTTCATTGTAATGTGTTGGTGTAATAAGCCGCCATGAGCGTCGGAGATAGGCCAATCAGACCGAATTTTTCCTCTTCAGTATGAAGCCAGACTGGTAACATTATTTTTTTGCAAATAGGCTTTTAAAAAACACTTTTGAACCCTACCACTGCTTCGGGACAAAAAATGGGCCAGTGCTGAGAAGAAGCAGCGAAGCAGCATTAGTGTTCATTTTACTCTATCGATCTCAGACCAAGTAAAATGAGGCCGAATAGACCACGAAGCTGTACCAATCATGATATCACGTTAAAACGGTTATCATAAGCTTTCTTGAAATCATCCAAATACGCCAACTCCCAACTCCAAAGCATCAAGTTCCTTGCATTAGCATGAACGTGTTAGGAACACCGATAATACTGAACCGAGCAATTTGCACCAATTGCTGCAAGTTGGAGTCGATCTCGGGCGAAGTCGGGTGATCTAGTTAGTGCGCTAACTCCAGTTCGCACGAAACCGCATTTTACGGGAACTGCCTGAATTAGTTTAGTTCAAGTCGTTTGCCTTTATTGTGTGACGTTATCTTTAATTTATGCATTTCGTATTTGGAGCATCTTAGCTTTTCAAACAAACATTAATACAGAACCAGTACCGATGTAAAAGAAACTATTATCGTATCCCCCCATAAAATAGTGTACCTAGTTGAAACCTACATGGTGTGGTGCACAATAAACATAAATAATTCTAATACAGCGTTTAGTCCTAAACTAAACCAAGCTTGTGTTGTTTAATTGTCTTTACATATAGCAACATTTAGTCCTTTTTAATGTGCGTTGCAAGAAAGAAGAAATAATTAAACATTTGTAACAGACACAAGATGATACCATCATTCCATTCAGAAAGCAACATCGAATATCCGAACAAAAAAAGGCTCATCTTGACTCCCTCTTCAGACAATCCCACTCACAAAGAGTACCTTGATCCGTGAATGGGAAGAAATTACAGCGGTAATACTCGAAATTACAGCCGTAATACTCCAGTCTCTGTGGATTTGATAGTAAAAAATTCAAAGCCACTGGTCAACGGACAAAGAAACTCCGCTGCAATTTTATACTTCAAAAAGAACTACCTACAGGATTACATTTGGTTCCGCGGGTGTAGAAAAGTTGATATGGCATAAATATCAGACACACTTTAAAAAAAGTGTCCATTTCACTCGAAGTGGTAAAGATGGCTTGATAATAAATAATGAATACGTTAATGAGGGCTATCGTTTTTATACTTAACAGTTGGCACTCCTGGCGATTGACAGGACCTTACTCTACAGTGGCGCCATCTTGATGAGTGCAAATTTACCGCCAAACAAATTTTTATTTCTGCTCAACCTAAAGTCGAGAATGTACACATTTATTTTGGCATAAAAGTTTAAATAAATAAATAAATAAATAAAAAAATGCAATAGTCCTCCTACCACTTTAGCGCTCACAAGTTGGCGCCACTGTCTTCGCTACTAGCAAGTGACAGGACCTTACATTACAGTGGCGCTAACTGATGAGCGCTAAAACGATAGCCCTCATTACGATCGTTCGTTTCAGCCAAATGACGTCCACTGCTGGACAAAGGCCTTCCCCAAGGATTTCCATAATGACCGGTCCTACGCTGCCCGCATCCAGGTTCTACCCGCGACTTTCACCAGATCGTCGTCACCAGAATACTCGTATTTATTTGCAGATATTTACAGACAGATTATAACTTGGAACTAGGATTTGATATGAATAAATAATTTTGAATAGTCACATGGCAATAGCTAAAAAGTTTGTACCATAATAACATAGTACCACAATACCTACCTATCTGCCTCATGTCCCTTGTCATATCCCAAGTATTAATTTATTACATTATTTTTAGTTTTGTATCAGTCAGCATATAATAAAACTCATAAAAACTCATCAAACTAATTTATTTTTGCAAATAATCTTTTAAAAAACACTTTTACACGTCCCAGTATTAACCTTACCACTGCTTCGGGACAATAAATGGGCCAGTGCTGAAAAGAAGCAGCGCAAGAAACTCAGTCACTCTTTGGATTTAACTGCCCTATCCAAAGTTAGACCGCTCTCCGCAACACCGGTCATTGGCAGTAATGCGTTCAGCGAAAGGAGTTAAAACTTCGCTTCAAGCGAACAATTATAAAGGAAATAAAAAAGAAACGGTAATCTGTTCCGGTGAGTTGCGGTTTATTCTCTGTTTGTGTTTTGTATCCCGATGCCGGCAAAGAGTGCCGCAAAGTGATCGTCGGATGACTGCTTTTTAGGGATTTTCACTTTTTTTTTTACATTCCTGTGTACATGAACATTTAGTATGATAGATAAGTTCAAAGCTGCGACATAATTTGAGGCAGGAATCAGTTTTATCGTGGATGAATAAGTGAGGCATCACTAGACATTAGAGTTGATATTTAAATTCCATAAAAGTTGTAACTCACTAGTTATAACATCACAAATGGAACAAAAATCCACATCCCCACATCCACATCACCATCTTTGTAACCACCTGAGGAGCAAAATATTATGTTAAATTCAAAAATGTTTAAACTTAAAATCGGTTAAAAATAGTGCAGACCTAGAGTCTGCAGATTGTAGTTTAAAAATAAATAAAAAAAATAAGATCACACAACATTTTTTGCCAGTGTTGTATAACTTGCTAAGTTGCCTTTATGGATTGAATTTTAAAATTATACAGAATTCCATATCTTTCTACGGGCATTTTACATCAACTTCTTAAAAATAAAATTACTGGATAAAACTCTAAAATCACAATGTTTTTATTACAATTATTCAGTGTACAAACAGATTGTCCATAGTCACCGTCCTATAAGTTAGGGTGTCNGGCGTCTTTTGCGCTGCATAAATGACACGAGATAATTAGACTAAAGATAAAGTATCATTAAATTAAAACGTTTGCTTTGAGGTTTACAAAACAATGCAGACTTACTTGTACCTCCTGTAAAGAAGTCTTGGTCGGGGATGATGCTGGCTGCCGCGATGGCCGCCTCATCAAGCACGATCACCTGAAAATTATAAAATTATTGTTATATGAAAGGTAGCAGGAAGGCGCTGGATGCAGGCCGCTACCAACCGGGCGATGTGGAAATCATTGGGGGAGGCCTATGTCGTGTTGAGTCGACGTCCTGTGGCTGAAATGATAATGATGATGATAAAAAAGAAAACCTTTTTTTATCAAAACATCATAAGTATTACTTAGTTGCAAAAAAAAATGTTATTTTGGTCTGGACGGATGCAATGGTGTAAGTAAATGGTCTGCTAAAAATAAGGCACAAAAATGGGCTAAAACTAAATTTTTAGGGCTCCTTTTATTTTTTACAAATGGATCAAAGGGGAGTGTTAGCAACAAAGGATACAATAATTATCTACCTTTGGACATGCGATGATCCTCGCCTCTTGAGCGCCCTCAATCGTCCTCTCCTCCTCGAAGGTGCAGTTCCTCAGAGGCAGGAGGTCTATCGCATTAGCCGCAAGGGACCAGAGGTGGCCGGCCCCCTGGGGGGCGCGCGCACCCTTCCGAAAGTGGGGGTTGATGGACAGGTTGTGCCGAACGGAGTTCTTCCAGCGCTCGTCGTTCGCTTTGTAGTATGGGAAACGATCACTGAAACAAGACGGAGTTTTATTACATACTTATTTTTCAATCTTTCCTTTAGGAAACTATTTCAAAAACATTATAATGTGACACGACAGTACCTAATTCAGTTTTGCGGGATCCTCATTGGATTGCTGTGGGAACAAGCCCTTATTGAATTATTTTCTATTCACCTAATATTATTAGGTTAAGTTACGCAGTAAGAGTTCTATCTTATTCGTTATACAGATTTTACTAAAACATTGTCTCTTTTCATCAAACAGAAATAAGTAGACATCTAATAGAACACTAAAAATGTAGTACACAGTTTATTTTTTAAGAAAAGCGTTTACACTTTTATAGCCTGACCAGGAACATAAAAACCCTCGCCATGTTGCGGAAAACTAATGGTACTAATTTCTTTTAATGGCAACAGTAACTGAAAACTTCATTGACATGTCACCTTGCATGTCAGTCTATTGCTGTCAAAGTGTAAACAAACTTTATTTTACGTGTGCGCAATTGGTTTTATGAATTAAATTGCTAAAATATTTTTATAGTCGTGAAAGAAAAGTGGTTCACAATGTGTTAAAGTATTTGTCGAAGAGAAATACTAAGGGTTCGGACAATATTTTCATTGAATAATGTTTCCGACAAAGGTTGTCAAATTGACTGTCATGTTTATTGTATAGTACAGTCCANTTTTTGGTGCGGGGTACGCGGGTGTTGCTCGCGGCGTGAAGGTCAAACGCCCAAGGTCATTGAGGACTCTAATCGCCTTAAGACTTTTGCTTTGAGGTTTACAAAATAATGCAGACTTACTTGTACCTCCTGTGAAGAAGTCTTGGTCGGGGATGATGCTGGCTGCCGCGATGGCCGCCTCGTCTAGCACGATCACCTGAAAACGATAAAATATTCTCAAATATAAAGGTAGCAGGAAGACGCTGGATGCAGGCCTCTACCAACCGGTCAATATAGAAATCATTAGGGAAGACCCATACTCAGCAGTAGACGACGAATGATGATAATGATAAAGAAAACCTTGGCTGTCAAAACATCATTCTTAGTCCCCAAAAAACATTTATCATCAGTCTGGTCTGGATGGGTGGTGGAAGTATGATCTAAATTATTGTCTACTGAAAGAGAAGAGACTAAAATGAACTACTAGTAATGTTTTGGATTCCTTTTATTTCTTACAAACGGTTCAAAGAGATGATGGAAAAACGAGTATTCTTTATCTACCTTTGGACATGCGATGATCCTCGCCTCTTGAGCGCCCTCAATCGTCCTCTCCTCCTCGAAGGTGCAGTTCCTCAGAGGCAGGAGGTCTATCGCATTAGCCGCAAGGGACCAGAGGTGGCCGGCCCCCTGGGGGGCGCGCGCACCCTTCCGAAAGTGGGGGTTGATGGACAGGTTGTGCCGGACGGAGTTCTTCCAGCGCTCGTCGTTCGCTTTGTAGTATGGGAAACGATCACTGAAACAAGACGGAGTTTTATTACATACTTATTGTACATTATTTCCCTTAGAAAACTACTAGCGGCCGCCCGCGACTTCGTACGCGTGGATCCCGTTTTACCCCGTTAGGGGTAGAGTTTCGTAAAATCCGTTCTTAGTAAGCAGCTACGTTCTAAAAGGAATCCCCCATGCAAAATTTGAGACTCCTAGCACTTGTGATGCGATGAGTGAGTGAGTCAATCAGTCTTATCAACCTTTCGCTTTTATAAATAAATTTCAAACACATTAAATTTATTCAGATGATAGTCCAGTTTTGCGGGATCCTGCATTACTGGATCCTAATTGGATTAAGAAGCCCTTGAATTATTTTTTATACACCTAATACTACTTAGTAAGAACATTTTCTATCTTATTCATTATACAGATTTTACTAAAACCATTGTCTCTTTTCATCATACAGATATAAGTAGACATTTAATAGAACCCTAAAAATGTAGTAGCACAGTTTATTTTTTAGGAAAAGGGTTTACATTTTTAATTGTTCAGTAATTACAAAAATAAAGCAGACAGGTAAAGAGGGTCAACTATTTTAAGAACAAAAGGTAGGTACAGCTTGTTACCCTTCCACAAAAAAGTTTCGAGGTTTCACACCGTTTTGTTTTTCATTTCACGAGAAAACAATAACGCCAACAAACTTATTGAAACACCTTCTCGTGTTTTTAGAAGCTGAAAAAACAAACAGTCACTTTACTTGGCTTCACTTCAACAGAGGGTGTAAAATGACCATAACAGTTCTTTTGACGCGTGTCCTCTGGATTTTTTTCTATAAAAGATTGTGGGCATGTGAAAAGGCGTTGAGTTAAAAATAAAAAAATACTTAAATGTTTTAACCTATCCCGCTGACCTTGCCAAAGTAAACTACTGGGTTAGATACATATTTATTTCTATTTTTATGTACGTAATCCATATCCAATACTTCAAAGTGGAGTTGTAGTCCAGTACAGCCAGAACAGGCTGTATCAAACCACCAACCAATATTTTAGACTGAAAAGAGATATAAACATAAAATCCGCTGGCATCTGCCATGACAATGTTTCGGTGTACCAGCCAGACTTCAAAGATATTGAATCCTCAATCTTGTCTTCAGCAACAAAAACTAAGACAAGTGGGGGCTCCCCCAACATCTGCGTACGATTTTGTGGCGTACTGTAGGACTGTAGCAGGCCGCGGGCGCGTCTCCGGCTGGCACGGGGGATCGATGCGCGCCCGACCGCGACGATCACGCGTCAGGGTTATGGTGACAATATTTACATCATAGTTGGAGACAGTCCTAGGTTAGGTTACGGGACTATTCCCACCTCTCGTTCCCACCGCTGCAATTCCTATGTAGCCAGGATTTACAGCTTGACCGCCAATAAAAACCCAACCAGTGAAGGCCTTTGCATGATGCATAGCGCATGGCATGCGTCATCATGATTCCTAGGTTAGATTAGCAAGGCAATCAAAACCGGTCTTGGATACATAGTTGGATACAGGAGGAGGTTATCAGGCAAAACTGTACTTGGTCTCTCGATTGGGCCATTGATTTTGTACTCCAACCAAGCTAGATCACCCCTAAAAGCGAGCAACTTGTCTGGGCCGCTGTAATTGAAGAATTTGAGCTTGTTGGTATCTCTAGTTTATAATGCGCACCACGATACGTCCTATCGTTGATTTTAGACAAATAAGTAGACGCGTCGTCTAAAATCGATAATTGAATCGAATGATTCAATCTTGGGGAACATGACTAGTCAAACTCAGTAGTTGCTTTTAGACGCATGACAACCTGTTTGTTAATTTTTTCTACCCTATAAATGTAAAAATTGAGACGTTATTATAATCAGTAATGATACTCAAAAATTACACTGCTACAAACAACATATTTGCAAGTTTAAAAAATCGTATGTTTATTCGTATATCCCAAAGCATGGCCACCCCAAGCGGAGTAGCAGAGGTATCCTACGTCATTTAATTGGGGCGATTACCCGTTATCACCTGTTCGATGCTTGGGGCGAGCGCCGGTTTGTTATTGCTACTTTTTGTTGTGATTGGTTATCGTTACCTAATTTGGGTATTTATTGGCGTTTCGTTTGTACACGTTTTCGTTCGTTTGTTGTTTGTTTGGTTATTTGGTTCAGTTCAATACCGTATTGATTAGATAATTGTTTACTTATAGAAGGAAATGTGATAATACTTGTAATTTTCTATATATTTGGATACAAATTAAAGAGATTTCAACTATACTCTGATTTTTAATTCGACGGAATTTTGACATTTCATAAGTGTTGTCAACATTGAAACATTCCCACTAAGAATGGAGAGCATTTTCACAAATTAAAAAATAATCCTTTCTTGAATTTAAGGTTTCACTTAAAAAACTAAGGTTTAAAAATGTACTGATAATTTCAAAATGGTTATTTGAATTTTTTATTATCATATTTTGGAAGTTTGGAAATTATTTTTCAATTACTGGACTCCCTGGCCAATAATCCATGGGTTACAAACCTTTTTTATGAAAATCCTTTTGTTAATAAAATCTTAGCTTCATAAAATAATCAATTTAACAAGATGCCAATTTTATAATCCAAGTTGATTATGATGACGACAATGATGATTGATGATCAATACATATGTTCGTTTATGTTAATATGTTGTTTTTCTGTGTTAAAAACACGTTTTTTTCTATTTAATCTCTAAAATGTACATAATAATTAGTGTACATTGACTTCACAATACAAACAATAGTTCTTTCTTGTAAGTTGTACTTGATGAAATTTCATTACATATTATTTATTAATAATTCAAAGCAAAAAAGGCTTATTACATATAAATTGTCAAAAAATGACAGCTGTCAGAATTCCGTCGAATTAAAAATCGGACTTTAGGTGTCATCATCATCAGGTGATTTAATCTCCACTGCAGGAGCACGACGCTCTCTATTTTATCAGATAACAGATTTGGTCTACTCTCCCCACCCTGTTTTCCCCATCATTTAATAAATTGAATTATTGTGTAATTTTTGCACGTCTAGCAGACTAAACACATGATCCTATTATAATATTGCCACCCTTGGCAAATAAACGCTTGAACTTGAACCTGGTCAGACCGTTTGGGGAGTCCTGACAAATTTATGATATCTCTGGCTGCTGACACACTGCCTTCGGAACTATTCCCACCTCTCGTTCCCACCACTGCAACTCCTGTGTAGCCAGGATCTACAGCTTGACCGCCACAAAAACCCAACCAATGAAGGTCAAGTTTGTCCCGGGGGAAAGTTAAACTGTCATTGGACCCGCAACGAAATTAATCAGAAGAACATAGGAGGAGTTCGAAATTAAGGTTCACACACTGCCTTGTCAGCTTTCCAGATAATTTAAATCCAACTCACTTTCTTTTCCCCTTCAAACTAGTGCTAATCAAACGCGCTAATGCGTGTAACGAGCACCGATAATGAATTAATAACCGGCCCCTGCGTTCACGCAGCGATAACCATCGCAATCCCGCTGTTGACACTCCGATAACACGTCCTTTGTAAACGAACCGTTTGAAGAGGTTGGACGATTAGTGCACGGTAGTTCGCTGCCAAGATTCATAAAACAATCTTTGTACAGTCAGCGAACCCAAAAAGTTCCCAAAGTAACCAAAAAGTTCATAATACAACCTCTTGTGTTGTCAACTTTTTGGCCAATGTGTATCACGAAATTTTTGACTTTCACCGTACTACACTCTGTAACTGGTAACAGCAAACATTATGCAACTGATTGATAACGATGATTCAATACAAATCGTAAATTGAATCTATTGAACCGATTTTAAAAATTCCTTTCACCAATAGAAAGCCACATTATTGCTGAGTGTCATAGGTCATATAAAAAACCGAAAAATTCCACGCGGGCGAAGCCGCGGGCGGAAAGCTAGTTATGTATAAGCAGCTAATGCTCTATAAATTTACAAACAAAGCTCAAACTCGCCCTATACATAATCAAACATTTTATATTGTCGTTATTGTAGTTCACTGATTGTCCTTGAAAATGTTTACTAATTAACCTAATTGCACGTACTTAATTAACTGTTGCAATTTTAAGTCCCTAGGCCGTGGGAAATTTGCACATTAATTCATTATGTGGCACAGTGTTGCCACTGTAAACAAGTGCAACAATTACTATAAATTAGCTCAATCAAGTATCTTAATCAAGATATTCAAGGGTAAATTTTTAAAGTTTTAAAAATCCTTGACACACTTTTGAAATATAGCTAAGTTGGAACTGAAAGCAATTTAATTCAAATTGTTATTTTACCTTGAACTGATTTTAAGAACTGATGAAAACATTCTTAAACATTCTCAATTAAAAACATTCGAGGAGATCCGCAGGAGAACCAAAGTAACCGACATAGCTCGCAGAATTGCTAAAATCAAGTGGCAGTGGGCGGGGCACATAGCTCGTAGAGACGATGGCCGTTGGGGCAGGAAAGTTCTCGAGTGGCGACCACGGGCTGGAAGATGTAGCGTGGGCAGGCCTCCTACTAGGTGGACCGACGATCTGGTAAAGGTCGCGGGAAGAGCCTGGATGCGGGCAGCGCAGGACCGTTCATTGTGGAAAACCTTGGGGGAGGCCTTTGTTCAGCAGTGGACGTCTTTCGGCTGAAACGAACGAACGAACGAATATTCATACAGGTCCTAGAGTCACGCTTATGATCAACATAAACAAGATTTTTTACCAATTTTTTTTAAAAACTCTCATTCTTATAGCATTCTAACTCCATCAGAGCTTGGCCTATCAGAAAAGTTATATTCTATTGTTTGTCCAAATCACATTTTTGACCAAGAAACCTGCTAACCCTTTCCTCACGCCCTTTGAACCAATCCCCCAAATTAAGCAATGAAACAAGTCGCTTACCCCACAAAAGAGGTTCACATTCTCTAATTACACCACACAAAGCATCCATCGACAAATGACACCGGCACACAATATCCGAATGCTTTGTGGCCATAATTCGATATGGCCACGGAAAATGCTATTGTACGTTCTTTGTACCGTCGGCAAAGAGTTTGCTATTGGAAATATTTTCATTTCGCCTTGACATTAGGTTAATAACTAAGATGTTTCTACGGTTCGCTTTTTAATTTTCTTTCGATGCTTTGGTTCATCGAGTCAAATGTACTTAATAATAAATTGTTAGAAGACTGTTTTGAGTTGTTCTTCTCGGTACTGGACTTAGAGCCGCCGCAGCCAGATTACTTCACAGTTTTAGAAGCAGAGTTCTTGCTAGATTGGTTCTTGCTAGAAGATGAATCAGATGATTCACTTGACTCAGAGGTTTGGACACCGCCCAGATTGATGAGCCGTAGCCCGTAACTATAACGATAACCGATGTTTTTGTATGGAGTTTGAAAGATTTCAGACGTTTTTTTATAGTTAAAGTAAGATGGTGCAACCCATCCTTAATTTAAGATAGACTTTAACATCAGAACTGTATTACTAATCGAGTTTTACGTGTATACGTCACAAACTCCGTAATGTAGCTCGACTGCTATATTTGCGTTTCGTAGAGAATATTCTAAAATGATGTTTGTCTATCGATTCCACGAACATAGACGCACAAACACCTAGCTATCTACCAAAACATTATCTTGGTGAGAACCTTTGCCAAACAATAATGGACAATAAATAAACATGCAGAGTAAAATCACTAATGTAATCGTGTCCCCATAAAAGTAGGTAACCCAATACTTAAAATTGGATAAAAATAAATTAAAAAACACTTTGATACTACTGGAACTTACTTTGGTGAACTAATAAATAAATCTGAACATGAATCATGAGTAAATATTCTTTACCTGGACATATTTCTAGTTTTTCTTAGTATGGAAGAGCCCGAATAGATCTTATTTACTCTAAAAGCTTCTGAAGGGCACACTGTGGTCTACTTCACTGACCGTACCTTATTGTTATTGTAATGAACGATATTTTCCAGTTTGAGTTGATTGATTGTGGCCCTTTGTTCGCCGATATACCGATCTCTGTAATTAAGCTGAGCGGAGAATACTTATTTCTATTATAACAATCGTATCGAAAAAGCTATTGTGGTCAGAAAATCTTGAAGAGAATACAACATAATAAATCCACTTGGGTTCCCATCGGAATTTAATTATTATTCAATTGTTGGAAACCTTTAATGTTTTCAGTGGTTCTTAGCTTGGTTTGCTATGAGCAGCATTGGATTTAATAGGACAGGCTCCATGTTGAAAGGAACTTGTAAAATTAAATATAGGTAATATTGTGAATTCATAACGCACGATTTGCCGCAATCTGTTCATACAGATTACCTCATGGTAATATTACGCAATTTGAAGCTTTTACATTCTTTGTCATACATACGAGTTATTTATTTTTAATAGGATACTGATAATATTACACAGTTGTTTTCATTTTTCATCAATAATGAGCAACCAACAAGATTAGGTTGATGTTTCATAACCACCTAGATTTCATCAACAAATCTAGATCATTCTTATTCTACTTCCAGTTTAGTAATCTACCAATCACAATGTATAAACTTGTTTAAATTAAAAACCACAAAACTCACGAGATCCACTGGTAAATGGCTGATACGGTGAGCTCGCCCTTTTCCCTCAGGGCGCGCTCAATCAGCTCAGGGTAGGTGTAAAGTGGCTTCCTCGGAGCGGGCGGGCCGTCGGGCACCATGATCTTCGGCTCCTTCTTCGCCGGCTCATCATCAGGCACCTTCACGTTCACAAACTCGTCCAACCTAAAGTTCAGGAGCCACGCGAGGCTCGCGCAGTCATTATCGTCCTCCGCTGGGGATTTTGAAGACTTTCTTCTCCTCCACTTGGACCTGTCAGGCGCGGACATTTTGACGGGTGCAATGACGTTTTGACAGTCCGCTGTCGATGGTGCACTGGGCGCGTTTGAATCGGGAACGCGCGCCGCGCTGTAGTGCCAGCCAGTGATATCGCGTACCGCTCTATCTTTTTTATTAAATAGTGCAAAAGAGGTTGATCGTGTGTCATGGGGTAAGGTCGTATAGGTGTTCAACATTTTAAAATTAAAAACATTGGAATATTTTGGAACTTGGATTGAGAAGCAAAAAGGTTTTATGCATGTGAGGTGCCGATGGTGCAGCCAGGTGCAGGAAGGTTTCTTTCAAAGAGAATTTGGTAGAGAATTTAGAAGTTACAATGCTAAGGGCTGAAAGAAAGAGATATTCTTCATAATCCTCATTGTTTAATTCTTGAAATATCGAAATATAACTGCTACTAAATTGTTACTGTGTTGTTATTGAAAACATACTTTGAACCAAAAGGCATAAATATTATCTTTCACCGGCAATTAATCACGAAGGAATATCATGGAATGGTTTTTGAATGAAACTTTTGTCATAAAATATTTCTTGCTACAAATCATTTATCGATGCAGCCCCCCTAGACAAAACGCACTTTTTGATCGAATCGAAAATCGAATCCGTCAAAACTCCATACAAAAAAGGAGCTTTTCGACCACTTTGCGACTGGTTTGCGATTATAATTTGCACTTTGTCTAGACCCACAGATTTACATGAAATTCCCGATACTTTTCAATCTTTCCACGAACACGCACAGTTGAATGTAAAATTCATTTTGTCATGCAACCTCTTCCAAAAGTTTGTTTTAATTTTGATCAAAATATTTCATCAAATGAGTAAAGATTATTTATTTATCTTTTTTCATTTTACTCCAAAGAAATCGACTGTTGTAATCATAGAAGTCATTGTGCTATTTCGAGGTGACTTGATCTGAAAATAAAATAAAACCTTTGGTTTCTAAGACTAGTACGAGTTCAAGTGCATTGTGGAAAACCTTGGAGGAGGCCTTTGTCCAGCAGTGGACGTCATTTGGCTGAAACGAACGAACGAACGAGTTCAAGAGTTCATAATCCAACACAGAATAGGATTGAAACAAATACGGCTTTGTTTAAAGAAATAATGCGTGCAAATATTTACAGTGGCAGATACACACGGGAGGGCTTTGTTGTCCTAAAATAATTGTTTTCGCCGATACATGTTTATTTTGAATCGATTTCATATCGGACTTTCAACTCGGGATTTGATCGTCTGTATTTGAATATAGAAAGTAACGAAGGTATAAAGCAAAGATGGGATGCATCGTAATCAGTTGTGATAAGTGCTATATTGCAACAAAAAATGCTTATTACTAAGTCATTCGATATTATCAAGCCAAGTTATTTATTTATTTATTTAAAATCTTTATTGCACACATGAAAAACAGTGGTACAACAGGCGAGCTTAATGCCATGTGGCATTCTCTTCCAGCTAACCAGAAAATTAAACAAAACAGAGAATTTAATTTAAGTTAAGAGAACTCTTTTGCTTATTTTATTTTTTTAAGATAATGTTATTGCCCAAATTACTAATAGTCCCCCTAGCCCCTCGTACTAAGCTAATTATGCTTGTATCACGAGTATCAGTGAGCTCACCACAATAGTCGAGCGGCGGCGGGGACCGAACCCGCGTTCCCCGGATCACGAGTCAGCCAGACCGACCCCTTCACCGGTCGGCTATCGTGGCTTCATGGCAGGAAACATTATAAAGTAAACGGAAGAGTAAGTAATAAATGTTTTTGCCAAATAATTTCTTGAACTTTATGACAACTAATAAAACAATCGGAAATATATATGTTTTTTCTTCCACAATAAAACGGTGTTACTACTCGTATTCTACATACGTCATATTCCATAAAAGGGAACTAACAGGCCGAATAACAGGCTTGTAATTTAATTATTGCGATGCATTGGCGTTCCGTTGCACGACGGGAGCGCTCGTATTGCAGAGGTGGATTTTTTTGGAAAAGTTAAAAAATAAGCCCATTTGATTACCCTAGCTGAAATGTAAGCGAAGAACTGACAACTGATGAGTTAGGGTGCTTCTTTACTAGAGTAATAATAAAGTAGCAATGCAAGTTTTGTCGAAGAACTCAAAACCTAATCTTGAATTTTTAGTTAAAAGCATCCATTGATGTAGAGTCCTAAAAAGAATCTCTTAGGCTGATTTGCACCAACTTAATTAAACCGTAACTATAACAATAACCGGTGTGTTTGTATGAAGTTTGACAGATTTTTGACGTTTGTTAAAGTTAATTACAGTAAAGAAAACAGTTCACACCGAAAACTGCTTGGGGAGACCACAATATGACCGACTTCTTGGCGAATGACCTGCTCTGCCTACGGACTAGGTACACTGTATTATAGTTTCTGAATGCAGGCCATGATTGTCACTAGCATTTTAAAGGAACACGTTACGTACGTTTTACTTTAAATAAACTGAAAAAGAAATGTAAGTATTCATAATACGTTCACGAGGTGATCAACCCTCTCTCGCACTTGGCCGGGTCGTGCATACGTTTTAAATTCAATTACTTTTTCAATCTGCGAGCTCCGGCGCGGATTCGCGCGTCTCGTTACAAATGCGGATTGATTTGTTACGCGTAATACCCACCTTTGGTGCAATGTATAGTGAAATGCGTAAATGGGAGTGTAATGTAGACCTTATTGCGAAGACATAGAGTCCCTAATAATGGACGTAGAGCGGGTAATGTGAATACGGCGAGTATTACAAAATTGGCTTGGACAAACGTAATGTTTGTCTGAATTAATATCTCATTAAGTACACAAAGCTATGTGAAACTACGTGAAATCTACATTTTTATCCGACTGCGCCAAAAGGAGGGTTATTTTCAATTATATTTTAATTAGAGCCACAAACTCTTCTCTTCAACTCTCAAATTTTGCAAATTAATTTGAAAATTACCTAGGTATATTTAAATTCAGGAACAGAACCTACCATTAAAACTCTTGTTAGAAAAACAGCTTTTAAACATAATTTACTAACACCAACCTTCTTCAACCATGAATACAATTTAAATGCAAAGTCCAGAGACGAAACAGCTACATCGATTGCAAACAATTAAAGACAACAGACATAAAACAAAACGAGCGCCAGTAACCGATTTTAATTCGATCACGAGCATCGGTATCGCATGGATTCGCAATCGGATCCGTTTCTAAAAGTGTTCGATTTAATTGAAGTCTCGTTCGCTCGTGTATCCGAATGCAATTATTTACCATTTACCGGCCGATGCCCGCGAAATGTAATAAACTGGGGCCCGTTTGGTAGAGCTGACTTTTGAGCGAGTTAACTTGCCTTTAAGTACCCAGTTATCTATATAAATCTATATAAATAAAAATGAATTGCTGTTCGTTAGTCTGATTAAAACTCGAGAACAGCTGGGCCGATTGAGCTGATTTTGGTTTTAAAATGTTTGTCGTAGTCCAGGGTAGGTCTAAACGGTGAGCAAACAAGGAAAAATTGCGATGGCTTATATGTATATTGCCTTTAAGGCGGAACAGAGTTCGCCGGGTCAGCTAGTCTTTAAAGAAATATCTAACAGTAAATCTTAAGATTTTTATCCACAACGAGGAAACTTTTGGCCTGCATCTGATCTGATAGAGCATGGATCAGGCCGAAAGTGGAATCTAAACCACAGAGGAACTGGCTATCTTACCAATTGCCGGAACACAATGCTGTTAACATTGTTATGGCGATAGACATAGCTAAGATGTTAAGTAGGTAACCACAAACCAAAGAAGCAGAAAATGTTGCTCCCACTGGTAATCGAACCCAGGACCTCTGGATCTGAACAGGACGTCTTACCACTACTTAGATCATAGAAGCGGATAGTTAAGATAAATAGGTAGGTAAGTATGTTGTGTATAGTTATTATGTTGTGACCCATACGTAAACTGAAAACCAGCGTCGTGGCCTTCCCCACCGTGGGCCACGGCATATGCTGAGTGGAGTCCCATTGCGATGGGCATCGCTGTTGCGACAGGATAGCACTGCTCAGTTCACTTTTTATTTTCTTGTAATATTTATGTGCTATTTCTGTCTTTTTTTCCGTAATACCTTCTCTGTCCTTAACTAAGTGATGCTCATCCTAATAAATGTTTCTTTCTTTCTTTCTTTTAAGTATCGCATAAAAGGTACCGCTCACATAATATTATATTAGGTGAATCACTGACTTGTGATTTATGGTTTAGCTTGCACATTATTAAGAGTTCGCTGGCAAGTCAAGCTAGTGTACTGAAGGTAGCACCAGCCTCTTTAGGACGAGTGGCTTTATATCGCAGGATCCATTATATGCAGGCGGGGAACCGTTCGAGTGCTTCATAACTTAGACCACTTATTAATTGGTACACCGTAGAGTTCTTTCCTTGCCTTTCAACGAATGGAAACAGAATTCATTTACAAAAAGACATAATCTTAAATCCACTGAAAACTTATTTCCGTTTTTTCTCTCGCTCACATCAAATGGCGATTCTTTGCGATAGAACAAGACGATATGACCAGAAATGAGTAGCTGGAAGTGTGGCCCATAGTGCTCTACTATTTTCTCACAGTCACACATACATCTTAAACACATTTCGCGCCAATATACTAAAACAAACTTGCAAACACTGTCGTAAATCGACAGGCATTTTGCCATAAAGTAACATTGTGCACTCAGTAAGTACCCGAGCACGTTTTATTAGTATGAAAAACAAAACAGTGTTCTGCGGTTTTGAAAAACGCTATAAAAATATTACATTACTAGCTTTTTCCCGCGGCTACACCCGCGTGAAATTTATAGTGTCACAAATCGGCATAAATGAAAGCCTTAATCTGGGTTATAAAAAATAATACTGTAAAGTTTCATCAAAGTCCGTTCATTAGTTTTGCGTGAAAAAATAACAAACATCCAGACATCCAAACAAACGTTCGCATTTATAATATTAGTAGGATTACTAAAACCGTAGAGATCTGAGATTTTTAGCAGTTTCAATTATTCGGTGTACATCAGAACATGCACAGA